GTGCAATAATGTTATTGTGGTGGACTTTAATATTATTAATATATTAATTGTGGGGTAGCTCCACAGTATTAATATATTCGAAGCCCTTATCCTATTCTCCTTAGGGTCCCTACTGTAGCTCTATATATACAGCATTAGGCTCATGGAAGAAAAAAGAACAATCCCACACCTTGGGAATCACGTCCAGCTCTCTTTCTCTCTCTTCCAAGGAGTTCTTCTATTTCTTGTGCTCCACTGATACAAGATCTAGAAAGCTGTTTGAGAATACAGTAGAAGATCTTAAGGTATATAGAGATTCCAATCATACATCCAAACCGGAGACCAAAACCAGCAAGTGACCATACCACGACAACCAGGACGACGAGACGAAGAGATCGCCGTCGAGATCGCCGCCGGACTCCACCGCACGCGCCGTCACGCGCCACCGGGAGGTTCCAGTAGCTGAAGCTCAATCGCGCGCGTGTGAGCGCGTGAGACCTCCGTTTTCCGAGCGGTCAACGCCGTTGACTTCGCCGTGACGTCAGCTTTCCGGATTGGTCAAGTTTGTTCCATTCCGAGAAGATTTGATTTGCGGTCAACTGTTCGGGCCAGCCAGATCTACATAAATTTTAAGCAGTAAGTTTTCTTCATCAAACCTTTAGATCCGCTGCGCATAGGTTTAAGTTGAATGTTTGTCTGTGATTTGTGCATATCGAGATCCTCATGGATTCCAACACATTGTTCATGCATGCCTGCATTTGCTTCCGCACTTAGTATTTCAGTACTACAGTATTTCAGTATCTAGAATTTCAGTCTATACTTGCTTAAATCCTGAGATGTTTAGAGTAATGAATCATACTCGTTTGCATGCCTAGTAGTTTAAAGATATTAAAGATTAAAGATTTAAGATTAAAGTTGAGTAGCATCCCGTATATTAAAGTTAAAGTATTTTCAAAAAAATAAAATTAATATGAGATTTCGAAAATTAAATGAGAGCTTGCCTTTTTCAGCGCGAAAAAATTACTCTGATTTTAGTAAGTCTAGGCTGGGTATTACACTAAATCATTCACATGATTTTCAAACTAATTATTTTTCTTTACTGCAAAATTCTTCCAAAGAAAAATTAATCACGAAAAAAAAAAAAAAAGTGGGTGTAGTGTTTATAATTTTTTTTTTTTTTAATAAATTATTTGTCTCAGTTTCTTTGCGAAACGGTTAAACGAGCTATCAATTCACAAGCCGTTGGTGTGCGGTATTCCATACCATATCGATTGAAAACGATGTTGACATACAAGTCGAGTAATCGAAGTTGGGAAAATCTATTATAAGACTTAGACTTTTTGTTATTCTCACTATAAGTCCTAAATTTTTTATTTTTCATTCCAATGTTTTAATTTTAAGTTACTCTCAATATAATGCTTACTTTTACATTATATTTTTCAATTTAAGACTGAAGTCACTTTATATTTTGATATATTTTTGTAAACAACAATACTTTTTTTAAAATTTATTTTTATGTACTTATAATGAAAAATATTAAATATCTTTAATAAATTTTTCTAAGAATAAATTATAATTTTAGTTCTGTATGTTTCACTACTTTAACTTTTTCGTCATCTTCGAATTGTGTTTTGATTTTAGTCTCGTATGTTTAAAAAAAAATTACAAAAAGGTCATTTTCGCAACAAAAAGGTCATTTATCTTTTGCAAAAAAATGTTTTAATTTCGTCCCTTATGTATGAAAATGACCTTTATGTAACCTTTTTTCAAACATACGGGACGAAAATAAAAAAACGCTATTCAATTCTTGGCTTGGATTGATCTTGTATCGGTCGTTCACTGCTGGTTCGGGTCGGTCGCTGGGGAAGGGCTTGTGTTTGTGTTAATTTTAGTTTCTTTTTTTATGACTTCTGTTGTGTTTTGGTTTGAGTCTGTGTTTGTTTTATTTTTGGTCTTGTTTTTTAGGTTTGGGTACTGATTCCCCCGTGGGGGGCGCATCTATTCTCATGTGGGGAGCGTTCTTAGTTGGTGTGTTGATGTTTTTTTTAGTTGTCTGTCGTGTGTTTCTATTCTACCGTGGCTAGCGAGGCTCTAGGCGGTCGTTCGATCCGTCCTCCCAGTTTCTAGTTCCGGGTTGTTTTTATTCAGCCTTGGGCTGCTTAGTTGCACAGTTGTGCGTTTTGATATATAATATCCCTATCGTTTCGAACAAATAAAAAGAGGACGAAAAAGTTAAAGTAGTGAAACATATATGACTAAAATTATAATTTATTCATTATCTAACAAGATAATTATTTCATAATTTACATTTATGCTAAAGCTTATTGAAATCTATTTTAAAAGTTCAAAATTAATTTTAACTTAATTTTAATCAAAATATGTGGTAATATAAACTATTTAGAAAAATAGTTTTATTTTTGTAAACAAACTTATAGAAAAAATTATTTGTGAATAAAGCTAACTCCAAGAATTTTCTGGGTATTAATTTGATATATTTTTACTTTTTCAAAAATATAAATTTTATTCACAAATAATATTTTCTATAAATTTATTTAAGAAAATAAAATTATTTTTCTACATAGTTTATATTTTAATGTTGTCACATATTTCAATTAAAATTAAGTTACAAAATTTATTTTTTACCTTGTCAACTAAGTTTTCATTAAGCTTTGGCATAAATGTAAATTATAAAATAATTATCTTATTGAATAATTTTTTTAAGAGTCTTACATTGAGAAGTAGAATGTAAAAGTATGTCTTATATTGAGAATAACTTAAAATTGAAATTTAAAAATTTTAAAATTTAGACCTTATTGTGACATAATAACAAAAAGTCATGCAATAAATTTGTCCATTGAAGTTTCCACGCCCAGTCAACGAACGACGACTCTTCCAAATCCAATGAACGAACGCGGCATAATTATTTGCCGATGTTGACATACAACTACAAGTCGCGAAATTGAAGTTTCAAGGCCCAGTCAACCACTCTTCTCCCAAAGCCAATGAATGAACGCGGCATCTACACCAACCAACACCACATACGAAGGAGTCATCGATCTAATAACACTAATTAACATGGCTTACGACAAGATCAATCAAACAAACAAAGATGACGATGATGATTATGAGGCTCATATTAAAATTAAGGATCTCTTATTTCATTACTCTCTTCCTCCTTGATGCCACGTCATCCACAATCGTCATCCACAACAACTGCCCGTACACCGTATGGGCAGCCGTGGTCCCCGGTGGAGGCCGGCGCCTCGACTCCGGGCAGAATTGGATGTTGCATTACAAGAAGACGTTCACGAGGCCGTCACAACCGAAATGTCGAACCATTTCTACTCCAGCATGGATCTCTGGCCCTCAAGCGCTATAAATACAGCAAAATCAAGAAAATGACCAAATCCTTGAGCGAGAAGTTAGGACAAAGAGGATACGGCAGCGTGTACAAAGGAAAGCTACCTGATGGCATCCTTGTTGCAGTCAAGGTTTTGACCGATACAAATAGCAATGGAGAGGAGTTTATTAACGAAGTCGCCAGCATCAGCATGACCTCCCACGTCAACATCGTCAATCTCTTGGGTTTTTGCTTCGACACACAAAAGAGAGCTTTGGTGTACGAGTACATGCCTAACAAATCTCTCGACAAGTACATTGCTGATGGATCACTCGAACGCTTGGATATCGAAACACTTTATAAGATTGCGCTTGGAGTAGCCAAAGGCCTGGAGTATCTGCACACGGGCTGCAACACCAGGATTGTTCATTTCGACATCAAGCCTCAGAACATTCTTCTCGACCAAGACTTTTGTCCCAAAATCTCCGACTTTGGGCTGGCTAAACTGTGCAAAAAGAAACAGAGTTTAGTGTCCGTGCTTGGGACGAGAGGGACGCCTGGGTACATTGCTCCAGAAGTCTTCTCCAGAAATTTCGGAGGAGTTTCGCATAAATCGGATGTTTATAGCTACGGGATGATGGTTCTTGAGATGGCTGGAGCAAACACTCTCGTCGTGGGCCAATCCGATAACACCCAGTCGAGCGAGAATTATTTTCCTGATGGAATTTACGAGCGTGTAATAGATGATGTTACTAGAATGTCAGCGGATGGTATTGCTATTACCACACACGAAGACGTAACTTCTCGGAAAATGCTTTTGGTAGGATTTTGGTGCATTCAGACAAACCCATCGGACAGGCCTCCGATTTCAATGGTTGTGGAGATGTTAGAAGGGAGTTTTCAATCGATACAGATTCCTCCTAAGCCGGTCTTGTTTACTCCTGCTCTGCCCGTCTTACATGGTTCCTCGTCATTTTCGTCGTATGTTGAGACTGCAGAGCATTCGGCTCAAGCTGCAGTTCAAGTATAGGTGCAAAGATGTAATTGTAACTTCTCAAATTATGTAAAGTTTCATATTCAATATTGTTTACCATCTACTGCAGGTAATAAGATAGGAAGATGAGCATATTCTAACTACTTGGATGGATCATGGATGTTTGCGGGGCATGGCCAGATTTTCTTGTAAATATGTGCGGTGCTTCTATTTTAATTGATCTGTTATTTGCAGTCTATAGACATAATGCATTGATCGACAAAAGGCAGGAAAATGGTAAATTTAAATAATCTTTTCAGTAATTCAATCTCCCAAGTCAATCCATCTCTCTACCAAACTAGTTATAAAAGTATGGTTGTCTTCTTGTTAAAATTTAACAAGAAGACAACCATACTTTAAAACGCGTATAGCGTAATGTGTCGCGTTTTGGTTTTTATACTGCGAAGCATAAATAGCGTTGCGTGTTGCGTAAGCTATTTCGGTATAATTTTTTTATTGAAATATTACAAGTATATTTGCATATAATTAATGAAAATGGATGGTTGATACAAAAATTATCATAGTATTTGAATGACTTCAAAAATAATATCTAAGGATTAATTTTCACAAATGTTTAATGTAAATATCATCATAATATAAATATTTAATAATAAATCGAATATACTAAAAAGTAAAAACAAACAACGAAAATATAATGAGGTAAGTCATAGTATAATTTGAAGTATATGAATTTTAATTATTATATATTTATTTAACAACTTAATTCTAACTATTAGATGTGGACTTTTTATTCTTTATTTAAATGTCAAATGTTGAAAAATAAAATGATATAACAAAAATGGACCAAAAAATATTGCACCATTCAACTTAGAACTTCGCATTTTCAAACTTTTAATTTGAAATCATTATAAAAAATTTTAGTTTTAATTGTCATTTGTAAATATGACTCTGATCCCTAAAAATAGAGATTTTTTGAATATTTTATTGTTCAGTCATTGCAGAAATATAGCGTAATGTAGCGCACAATAGCGTGAAATAGCGCAAAATAGTGTAAAAAAGCGTGCCGTTTCAACATTTCGTGTAAGCTTTTTGGGAAAATGCCAAATATATAAGGCTATGTCGCGTTTTTCCGAACAAAAACTATATTGCGAGCAATAGCAAGCTACATAGCGAGCTATTTAAAACAATGTGTTAAATAGATAAAGAGCCAATCTTGAATATTTTTAGGCCCTGGAACAAATGTAAAAATAAAGCCCTAAATATATATTTTTTTTTTGACAAAAAATATTAGAAATGATATAATACCAACAATGATATTATTTTTCCTAAAAAATGACAAAACGTATGTAATCTCAAATAAAAGATCCAACTTCATGATGAAAGCTAACAACAATAAGCAAAGTAAGATGCAACAGAGATACAACTTCACGAGTTTCACAAAATGCAGTTACCCAAGAAAAAATTTAGATGCATCAACAAAATTTATATATTATATAAAAAAATTAATGGTAGTTAATCACTTAAAAAAGACTTATTCGGCCATTTATAGCGACAAAATCATCATATATCCATCATCAACCTTTTCAGTAATATCCTTTTTTATGCATAGAATTTAACACATTTTTATATTGGCTTATGGTTATTCTCAATTAAGTTTATTTCAGTGTATAATTTGCACTTCAATTAAAGTTTATTTAGTGATAATTTGCACTTCAATTGGAGTTTGTATAATTTATTATTTGTCAAATATTTTTTGTGTGCATGAGAAATCATTTATATACTATAGATATGTTTGGATTATAAAAGAAATATTTTATATGTTTGGATTATAAAAGAAATATTTCTCCTACAAAAACAACTTATAAAATGGTGAGTCCTACAAACAACAAATCAACCCTAAAGAGTTACAAAATAAATTTTAAATAAATACTAAAATTATTTAAACATTTTTAAAACAAACCTTGGATAAATCTTAAATTCTATTTATAGTATTTTTAGTTAACAACATTAAATGAAAAATAATTATAAAAATCCACCATCAAATAATTTATTTTTTCACATAAATAAAGTAAGTAGGCATAAAAGAATATAATAATAATAATACAAAATAGATGAAGTTGAAATATGTGTTGGTATGTGACTATGATTTGTATGATATTGTAAATGTGTGTGAGAGTGTGAAAGATGTTATAAGAAAATAAAAAGTAATTTATGAGAAGAATGTGAAAAGACATTCATGATGTAAGAGATATAGACAATAAAATATTTGCTATTGTTTTAGTTTCTCTCCCATACATTAATATTAACTTTATTGAAAGTTAAAAGCCAGATGTTAAAATATGAAAAGCATGTCTATCGGCTGGTGCCCGTGGGCCCTGGCTGAGATGTTGAAAAGCACGTATATGGGTATGTGGGCTGGCGCCCTTGGCTGAGATGGCCCTGGGCCATCGCTCAGGTTGCCCTAGGCCAAGGCCGACACTGATCACTAAACCAAAAAAGCCTACATCAGGTAACCATTTATCAACGGGTAAAATATACATGACATCCATGTATTATACGAAATTTGTTGGTTTTTCTCTGATATTTTAAAAATTGCGTCAGACCCCCTTGTTAATACTAACTGTTGCACGATTCCCCCCTCTCCGTCCAACTTGACGACGCGTGCAGCACACATTCATGTACTGCAATAATTATTCATTTTTTTATTTTAAAAATAAAATTTACTATTTTGCCCATTGCATTTCAATTGTTAGGAATAATGTAATGTTTTGTTGCTCCTAGAATTCGAACCTGGGCCAAAGCATTAATAAGCAAGACTTCAAACCACTTGGGCACCGTCATTCTATGGTACATATTTAACACAGATTCATTTAAACAACACAAACAGCGGAAAACTTAATCAAACAAAAAAAAATAAAAAAAAAAACAAAAAAATCAGAAAATAATGCAATTATAAGAAAATATAATTAAAATAAAATAAAATAAAAATTAAATTGAATAAAATTAAATGTAAAGTTTGAAAATAATAAATAAATATATTACTATTTATTATAAAAATAAATTGATAATTTCATATAAATAAATTAGAAAATATATATATGAAATAAATTTTATCATTAAATTTAAATATACATTTTTATAAATTGAATTAATATAATAAAAATAAATAAAATTAAACTAAATTAATATAAAATAAAGTAGTAAATTCTAACTAAAATATTTTCTATACAATAGCTATATTTGATTTTTATTTATTTATTTTTTATTTAGTTGTTATATTATTTATTTATTTTTTTTTTTGAAATGTTTGACAAATATATAAATTTATTTTTTTTCAATAAAATTCTTATTTATGAATTTGTAATAAATAATTTAATTACTTATTTATTCCTTCTATTTATTTTAAAATTATGGTAAATATATAATAACTAAAAAATACTATTTATAATGGAAAAAACTATTAATTGAAATATCAAGTATCCTTTGTTAACTTTGAAATACAAGGGTTACGCTCATGTTTCACTGTTAACTTTGAATATTATCAATTCCCCTCTCTCGTTCCACTCGTCCGAAAAATTGAACCCTAGTGCCTTTCTCAAATGTTTTGCGTCGCCTTCTTCGGCGGCGGTGGTGCGCCGGCCAGTGGTCGCGTTCAATCGTCGCCCCTCTACTGCGATCTCGGACCTCTAGTGTTGCCGCGATGTGCTGAAGCTTGTCGAATTGCCCAACCCTTGTTCGTCGGGGATGTTGCGATTGGAGGGAGCGAGCCCTATGGTGGTCAATTGGTCTGCAATTGGTGCGTCTTTTGCCCGTCAGTCTCAATTGTTGGTGAGTCTCCCTCCAATATCTGCTTCTGTTCCTGTCTCTGTGTATTTTGGTGTGAGCGGAGGGCCCTTTGGGCGGTCCCATTTTTTCCGGCATAACCCCGTTTGGGGTTCTTCTCGTTCTGGTGCCGGTGGAAAGCGGAGACATTTGCTGGTCTGTGGGTCGAGAGGCGGGGTGGGGATCTGATGGTGTGTCGAATTTGAGGGCCCGAGCCGCCCCCTGTTTCAGCTAGTGGTGTTAGTCGGAGGGGTTCTGGTGTTCCTTAGCTCGACTAGTGGTGTTAGACGTGCTTGGGGGATGCTAGAGTGGGGTCGATTTCGGATGTCCCTCTGGTTGAGGCTGATTGATTCGGGGTTTGGTCTGTGCTCGAGCTCGACTTTTTGTATAGGCCTTGGGGCAGTTTTGGAAGTCGTTCTCTAGACTTGGACTAACTTGGACATTGATTGGTTTCTGCTGGTTCGGGCCGTCTGATTTGTCGTGGAAGGGCTTTCTTTCTTTTGTAATTGGTGTTTTGTTTCCTTGTCTTGTTCTGTAGTTTGTTGTTTTTAGTTGTTTAGTTTTTTATGGTCGTGTTTTTGGTTTTGGCCGTTGGCTCCTGTGAGCCCAACTGCGTGCGGGCATTACCTCGTTTCGGGTCGTTCCACATTACCTCTACTACAAGTCTCGTACCCCGACCGGCTGGAAACCGCTTCGAGCTCGTTCTCCTCACCGGTTGAACGCGGAACCTGCATGAAACTCTCATACCGGAGGTGTTTTCCGGTGAAGAGCCTCCAACGCTCAAGTCAGATCTTGAGAGACGAAATATATGTGTAAAAATATGTAAGAGTATGAGAGATTGTGTCAAAAAATGAGGATTCTTGTCCCTATTTATAGGGACGAGCTACCTGTTCTACATGCGCGACTTGGGCGAGTTTGGCCAGCTATCCTCTTGCTCGTCCGTACAACCGCGTGCGCCCCCACTATCCCTGATGTCAGAGAACGCGTCGAATTTGTCAGAGAATTTCAGAGTTCGTTATAGCTGTGGACCACTCATGAAGCGTCGCGTGTCTCCCTCTCACGTGCTGGAGGCTCTCGTATTTATTCCGATGTTCGACCGAATCTTCGACGAACATGAGCTACTCCCCAGGTATGAGGTGGTCGAGTTTACGACCACGCCCATTTGACCGTCTTTCCTCGACCATCTCCTCGAGCAGACGGTGCTTATCCAATAC